AAAAAAAACTAATGTAATATATAACCATTTAAACAGTTAAAAATAAAAAACCAGTTGTCAAGGTGATAAAAACCAGTTCAAGTGTGAAAGGAAGGGCACAGATTGAACAGTGAAAATCGTATCCTCTCTTTTAGGAGGAAGGTGATATCATAGACTTCCATTGATATTTTTCTTTATATCTTTTTTTTTTTTTGAATGCACATCCATTAAATTATCATAAAGCTGATACAATAAGGATAAACCTCAAAACACAATGCTCTCCTAAGAGAGTTTAAGTGCTACCAGAGCTAAAACAAAATGACAATCAAAGACAAAACAAACAACAACAAACACTAATACAAACATAAACAAACAAATACACCACCAAAGCAACGCCACCAAAACAACAAACACCCAAAGCCGAGATATGGAAGAGGCCCGCAACGAAGTTACAGATGTGACCTAGCAGATCGAAAAACCCAACTTTAAGCCAACTAATGCATACAGCACTTGAGCACCCCCGCCAAAGACGGGCATTGTCTAAAACTTCAAACCTCTCAACAGCGAGCTAGAGCACTCAGAAGGTCATATTCTCAACATTGGACCCAAAAATCTCAACCCAACACAACACCAACACCACCCATCAACCGACCAACACCCAGGAACAACAGAGAAAAAAAAAACCACCCAGCCAACCACCGGCGTCAACACCAAAAAAACGCCATCCACCAACCGAAACACCACCCAACCACAAACAGACACCATACAAGTACACCACCAACACACCCTTCCCCAGGCACAATAACCGATCCAAAACGGAGCAACCCGCCGGCTAAAGCTTCAACGATGCTCCCCCTGCAGGCTCCAGCCCTCGACGCCGAGACGCAAAAAGGAACACCACCCCACAAACGCCGGCCACCACCACAAACCGCGACCCCAAACAGAATAACAGAAGAAAAAACAGGGAAAAAAACCGGAAAAGGGAGGGGGGAGCCAAAGCTCCCACCCTCCGGTGAACGCCCAGGAAAAACGGATCAAGAGCACGGGAGAAGGATTGAAACGGAAGATTCAAAGAAAAACCAAACCACAACCAACCCACCTCTACAGATTAAGAACCGAGAGGAGAGAAAGCCAGAGTTTCAGGGAAACCTGGGAGAGAAAAACCCCACCTTTTCGAAGAAAGGGAGGACTGCTATTTTTTGCCTGTCTGCTACCTAATATTTTTCTTGATATCTTGCTGCTTGATTTTTGAAAGTTTAATCATTTGGTCAAGAAATTTGAAAATTCAATGTTGGTGGGATTAGAATTAATGTCATGTACTGTGGGGAGCTTTCGACATTTATAACTAGTAAAATTATTCCCACCACCAAAAAAAAAAAAAAAGGAAGAAAAATCAATAATGAAATTCAATTTTTCTTTCCTGCTTTCTGATATCTGAAATTTAAACTCAAATCACAACTCTTCCTTTAGCAAGGCTCTCACAATTGCTAATCATGCAAATGCTGAGAGCGGTAAGCATAATCATGACAATCTTCCTTTTGATATTCTATTATTCTGTTTCCCATGTTTCATCAGTTGGCACCCTCAAACAGAGGGATAGGCTAAACTCTTCTGCATATCTAGTTTCTGCTAACGGAGTTTTCACTTTAGGATTTTATAGCCTCGAAAATACCAATAACAGTTATTTAGGAGTATGGTTCACGAAAAATATATATGGTCCAATATGGCTTGGCAACAGGGACAAACCTATTACTGATAATTCTGGTGTTCTCACAATAAGCAACGCCAGGAAACTTGTAATCAACAGCAGCAGAGGAGATCCTATTGAGCTGTATGCAAATGAAAACGGCATGAATATAACGGCCACTCTGTTGAATTCGGGCAATTTCGTAGTGAAAGAGATGGATATAAATGGTTCTGGGAATAGGGTTTTGTGGCAAAGCTTTGATTATCC